TTGAATAAGAAAAAAACTCTCTGATTGAGATCCACTGTTTTAAGTTCATCAATATAGGAGTTAGAAAATAATATGCTATCATTTCTTTTTTTTAAAGACTTATTTTTATTATGAATACAATAACTGGGGTGCAGGCCAGAGGTGCAGGGGATGAGAGGATTCACCAGAGACAGAGTGGGGAGCAGAACTGGCAGATTTACTGAAATACACTGCTGAGGGGAGCAGCGGGTGAGTCAGGAGAGGTCTGCTGTGCCATGTCGGTTAGTTCCCTGGCTGGGGATTGAACTCATGCCACAGTGGCTGGCAACAGCTTGACAGCTTGATAGCACTGAGACTTGAACCCCTGTGCCACCAGGGAGGCCCCCTGTTGGAATTTTTGAGATTTTTATGGTTAGTTGTTTTTGTTTAAATCTCCATTGTGACATTTATTTTATTCTGTCTTTTTCTGTACCTGTCTCTTCTTTAAAATTGTAAATCACTGAGATCAGGAACTATGTCTTATTTATCTGTTCATCTCCGTGTCAACCAGAAGGTAATTGCCTTGCAGAAATGTTTAATAAAATATTGATCTTGTGGGTTTGAAGGATAGCGTATATGTAAAGGCCAAAGAGACTGTGCTGTTTCCTTTGCTTCTATCCACTCTCTATCTAAGCTCAGAACAGTGCTATCCAGGTAACAGCCTTTTTTTTTTTAAAGATTTATTTATGCATACAAGAACTGGGGTACAGGGCAGAGGTGCAGGGGGTGAGAGGATTCACCAGAGGCAGAGAAGGGAGAGAACAGGCAGACAGACCGAAATACACTGCTGAGGGGAGTAGCGAGTGAGTCAGGAGAGGTCTGCTGTGCCATGTGGGTAGCTCCCTGGCCGGCTGGGGATCGAATTCGAGCCTATTTTTCTGAAAAGTTGTAGTTTAGTAAGTCTCACTTGGGGCTGCAAGTGAGGGAACTTAAAAAATATGGTTGCACTTATAAATGACTCTGAAAGCGTATCAGTTTCTGTTATTTAAACAATTTTATTATTTTTTATCCATATAATACTTGCATTGGCAAATAGAGAACGGAATTAGAATTGGAAATTCTGAATAACCATCCAGTGTTTTACATTTGTGGAATGTAATTTTACATTTTACAAATGTGGAAACTGAGGTTCAAAGATGTTAAGTGATTTGCTCAAGCCCGTACTGTGAGTTCATGCACTGCCAGGTCTCAACCATCCAGCCAGTTTTTAGAGCCCCCTGTGTACAGCAATAAATCATCTGTATTCAGATTTTGGTGTTCTTTTAAAATATTTTTACTTCTTAAGCTACTTTAAAAACTTATTTTTTTTTTTATTTTTGCATAGAAGAACTGGGGTGTAGGCCAGGGGTGCAGGGAGTGAGAGGTTTCACCAAAGACAGAGTGGGGAGCAGAACAGGAGGATCTACTGAAATACACTGCTGAGGGGAGCAGTGGGCAAACAGGCGAGGCCTCCTATACCATATGTGGGTTAGCTCCCTGGCTGGGGATTGAACTCAGGCTGTAGTGGTGACAGCACTGAGACTTCACCCCTATGCCACCAGGGAGGACCCTGACTTCTTGAGCTGCTAAAAACAGAAACATGTATAAATATCTAGCAAACCACTGTTTTTGATAATTTCTACTTTTTGGATGTCACCCCACAGATTTGGCTTATGACTCACCCTCATCATTGACCGCTGCTTGAATTATGATAATGTGAAATAAGAAGCATTTATGAAACCCCCAACCAAAACAAGAACTGAGACTTGACAATAATAACATACACGGACCCACCCCCACCGCCAATTTTTCTCACTGTAAGTCAGGTAATCATCTGACACTGATGTTCATCATGAACTGGCGTTCCCTCTTAGTTTTGTTGCACCCATTTTTTTAAACTTAAAAAAGATGCGTTGTATGTAATCTTTTGGAGTTGATTTTTTCTGTTTCAATTTTGGTGGCCTCTGGATTTGAGGAAGCTTTTTCAAATGTTCCATGATTTTCTTCTTATTCATCCTCCTCGTGGGATTCAAGCTTGCCCAGTTATGATTTCTAATCAAAGGATTTCCCTGGGATCTATGTGAGATTTTTTTGTTTGTCTGACAAATGTTCCGACTGATGTTTAAATTTTGAGGTATAGTTGACATATAACTGTATTAGTTTCAGGTGTACAACATGATGCTTTGATATTTGTAATTACAGACTATTTTACAGCAATTCCTGGTCTCAGTATCAAAGGCAGAACCGTAGAAAGTCGAAGACTGCTGTTTCGGAGACCTCAGAGGGCGTGTGGAAGGGGCAGGCTGTTGTGGTTTCCTTAACTGCATCTTCATCTTGTAGATGGTCGTAACCCCAGTGCAGACATCTCTCTCTACTGCCTCATTGTAGGGTAAGTGAAAAAGTGTCGGGCTTTTCTGCCCTCCCGCCATTAGGATTGATGATGGATCCCTGTGGTCCTGAATGCATGCCTGATGGCGGGCACCTGGAGTAGGGTGTGGGCATATGTAGATGGAATTCTCTTGGACTGAGGACTGGGCTTATAAGGGCGGCGTCACGAGGACACCAGCAGAAGCAGAACCACGAGAAGAACCATGAGAAGAGCAGAGAAGCAGAGAGAACGCGAGAGAAGGCCGGAGAGCCCAGACATAGTGAAGACTTACTGGGGGCTGGGAGGCCCACTGCCTGCCGTGTACCTGGTAAATCCCAATAAAAGCCTGCAAAAGCCACCGAGGGCTCCAGGACGCCTCCTTTACCCTGTCTGCTCGGGTCATAGAGATCCTGCTCCGTGTTCTCCTGCCCCTTACACACATCTACCACTGGCCACCGAGCCTGGGGGCTCCCACCAGGAGTAAGTGGTGGTTGAGTTACTGTTGTGACTACCAGCAGGAAGAAGGGTTAGAGACTGAGCATTTCTATTCGTCCCTTTCCCAGGCTGGAATATCCTTCTGACCTGCAGGTTCTCTGGCCAGGGATCAAACTCAGCCTGTGGCGGTGACAGCACTGAGACAACCCCTACACCACCAGGAAGGCCCTACTCAGAACCACTCTTTACTCAGATGGAAACAATAATATTTAAGAGGCTGTTTGGCCTCTAGGAGTGGGCTGTGGCACCGAGTGTGGCTCTTCACAAACCCTAAATCTAACCTGCTCCCCTAACTTGTATTTGCTCATTCCCTGATTCTAATTGCCATGGTATTTTCTGTGGCATTTGTTCTAGTCTTTATGTCAAACTCTATATCCCAACCTCAAATTTATTTTTTTAAAGATTTCTTTATTTATGCATACAAGAACTGGGGTGTAAGCTAGAGGTGTGGCGGGGTGAGGATTCACCAGAGTGGGGAGCAGAACAGGCAGATCTACTGAAACACACTGCTGAGGGGAGCAGCGGGGGTCAGGAGAGGTCTGCTGTGCCATGTGGGTAGCTCCCTGGCTGGGGATAGCTATAGTGCTGAGACTTAACCCCTTGCACACCAGGGAGGCCCTGTGCATATTTTAAAAGAGTTAATAAATGTCCCCCAGAGCACACTCTCCCTCCAGCGGTCTCCCCCTTACTGTCTGCAATGCCGTAAGTCCATGCCTAACCAACTGGCAAGGAGGAACAGGACCCTTTATGACGGGCTTAGACTAATCCAGACTCATTCTGAGAGCTGGCTCCAAGCTTCCCTGAGGTTTTTGGCTGCTCAGAAAAACAAATTGAAGAATGGAAATGGAAGCTGAGAATAGGTCTGAGGTGTGCAACCGACGCTGTCTGTTACAGAATTCATAATTCCAGGTTGTTATCCTCCACACACTGCTGCTATTCTGGGCCCTCCCTTCAGCTCCCACTCTCTCTCTAGCATATTAACCGTGAGCTGAGAACCCTGCAATGTCAACTGTCCTCGGCAGCGCGGCGAGGAATATGAAATGCATTCCTTGGAGCGCGCACTCTCGTGCAATTCCTAAGAAGTCAGTGACGCACGCGTGTCCGCCCAGGCTCTGCCAGTCTCAGGGCAGAGTGAAGAGCAGAGGCTCTGCCTTCTGTAAAGGTGGGCGGCCCTGGCCCCCTGCTCTGAGAGCTCCGCTTCCAGTTCTGATTTCTGCGCTCTTACAATTTGAATTGTTTCTTAACAAATTTTAACTTGCCCCCTAGTCTTAATCCCAACATCACACTATCTCCTTCCTTTGAAAATCCACTGAACTTACAAGCCATTCGTTGCCCTTCCATGTGTTAGAAACTTAGAGATAATACTAGACAATAGGGAAGAAAATTCAGTGGCTGGGAGCCAGGCGCGGGGGTAAGCTCGTTCCTTCACACACCATCTGACTTTATCCTTAATCGCACCTTGGTGGATTAAGTTATCTTCAGCTGCACGTTATTAAAGTTTAGGGAATTCGGGTTCAGGAGGTTAATCACCTGCTCAGAGAATGGCCACAGGCCATCACCATTCTGGCTCCATAGTCTTTATTGTTACCAAAGGCACCTCACACATTCACGTGACCTCACAAGGGTCGCAGGGGGAGCAGTAGTTATTTGCATGCTATGAATGAGGGTGGTGGGGTTCAGAGACACTAAATGACTTGCCCAGAGCCACATGGGGCTCAGATTTTCTGGCTCCTTCCTAGGGCACAATCTGCCACCATACAGGGCGCCCAGCAGAGCGTGGTGTGTGGGCGGATGATGATCCAGATTACAGTAGATAATCAATCAATAAAGATTATTAATAAAAACAAAGGCACTGCCTAGAGGTGTCTAGGTCCCCATCCCCCCTGTCACCTGTCATTTATCACCTCCCCTCTGGGACTTCTTTTCCATCACCTCAACCAAGACAAAGCAGAACCCACATCTCAGGCAGGTGCTCAAGAAGGAAGGGTCCTCTTTACTGGCAGAGCTCAGTGGGCCCAGCTGTGTTTGCTCTCCCACCTCCTACCTCAGGCCTTCCTCGGAAGCTGTGCCCCTCGGGCTCCTCTGTCGCTGGGGAGCAGCACTGCATTCATCCTGGGGCAGACGGGGGTGTGCCTCTGCTGTCCTCCCCAGCCGTGGCCCTGGCAGCCATCACACCGGTGCCCCCTCCCTTCTCTCCTCCCTCAGCCCCACCTCCCGCCTCTGGCTCTGCCCCCCAGGCCCAGACTCCGGCGTGTGCACGCACAGCAGAGCCTCCTCGGAAGGGAACAGAAGCAACTGCCAGGGTTCCCAGGGCTATGACCAGCACCTTCACTCCGGGGCTGAGCCCTAGGGGCCCTCATTATATCCCGGGGTAAGACTGCTCCCCACAGAACACCCCTGCTTGCTTCTGGGAGGCGGGTTACAGGGATATGGGACTTGGACCACCTAGACCTTGGGGCAAATGGACCCTCGGGCTGTGGGGGCTCGGGGCTGGGGTATCTGTAGTGTTGGATGAAAAAGCCAAAGCGGGGGACTAGTGGCAGCAGAGCCTGCCAGGAAGCTGTGTTTTCCGCTCCATGGTAACAGAGTAACAGCAGAGGGGGAGGGCTGGGAACCCAGGGAGCTGAGAAATGCCTGCTCCACATCCGAGTCCAGTAAAGATCAGGGCTTCAGAGGCCTCTGGGGAGGGTGGGGCAGGGGATTCTGGCAGTGAGGTGAGTCCTGCGCTACAGGTACTCTGGACACTGCCCACTACTTCGGTTCAGCATGGGCCAGACTTACGGGCAGATGACGGGTAAGCTACTTCAAGGCTCTCCTGGCCTAGCCTGGCCCCCGGCCCATCGCACACTTCTGCCTCCCATTCGGCCTCCACGATCTCCCGAGGTTCCCAGAGGAAGCCTGCCTGGCAGGCGTGGGCATGAGCGGCTCGGCTCCAGCATGATCCCCGGGTACACAGGTAGGGACCCAGGTATGAACAGCGGCCCCCACCCCAAAGCATGTCCCAAACGCTAATAGAAGCCTTCCTTATCCCCTGCCCACCCAGGTTTTGTACCCCAGGCACAATTCATCTTTGCCAAGAACTGCAGCCAGGTCTGGGCTGAGGCTCTGAATAATTTTACTCAGTGGCACGGTAGGCAGGGGACTCGACAGCTGCCAAGGAAGGGCAGAGGAGAAGACGACGTGGAGAAAGGCCAAGAGGCAAAGGCAGAGCCAGAGCTGGAGGCGAAGGAGGCAGAGCCGGGGCAGGAGGTGGAGCAAGTGCGAAGGCTGGCGGGGGGTACGGCGGGGTGGGAGAGAGAACCTTACCTTGGTGCGTCCAGGCCCGGGGTGGCCACGGGTAGCATGGCTGTGGGTACCGGGGAGGCGGGCTGGCCAGCCAGCTCCACTGCCCGGGGTGCTTGTGGAGAGCGCAGGGGCGGACTCTGATAGTCCCGTTTTTCTACTACCAACTTCCCTCCACAAGGCTTCCCCCTATTCCATGGATGACAAAGATCCTCAAAAGTTCTTCATGTCAGGTGAGAGAGAGGAGGGGCAAATGGCCAGAGGCAGGGGGGCCCCTCAGGACGTCTGGACTCAGCATCCCATCCCCACAGGCTTCACTGGTTATGTGCCCCGGGCCCGCTTCCTCTTTGGCTCCAGCTTTCCTGTGCTCACCAACCAGGCCCTGCAGGAATTTGGACAGATGCACTCACAGGGCAGTTCCCCAAAGGATCCCAAACATCTCCCCCCACTTCCCAGGAGCTACCCTCCGGACCTGGGCCTTATACCTCACTACGGGGGCTATGTGCCAGGTGAGGAGAGGCCCAGAGAGCGGCTTTGGGACAAAGATTTGTGAGGTGGCGATGGGTGGAGTGGAGGTGGCTTAGAAGTTGGGACGACAGCTCTGGGGGGAACTTCAGATCGCATGGTTCAGCTTTACCTCTGGGCAGAGAGGGAACTGAGGGAGCTCAGAGTGGAGAGTAAGACCCGATTTTAGAAGGCAGCTTGGCGGGTCTAGGCAACTGGCTGACAGGTAAATGGCTTTGTCACGCCGCTGGCCACAAATGAGACTCTCTTCGCCACGCAGGGTATAAGTTCCAGTTTGGCCGCACGTACGGGTATCTCACCCAAGATGCTCTGGGCCTGAGCACCCTGCAGAAGCAGCTCCTGGTGTAGGGACACCCGGACTTCAAGTTCTCTTTTCCCTTTTCATCTTCTCCAGCCATCCACTTGGGCTGGGGGATGAGGGGAGGCACAAAGAGAAAGTGGTTTGGAGGCCAAGCACCTTTTTTATTAATAGGTGTAATAAATAAATAAATAAATACATAAACAGAAGCCTGGGCTCCTCCTCCCTCTTTTGACCACCAGGCACTGGTCACGGCCTATTTACAGCTGGGGGCTTCGGAATCTGGCCCCAATACTGTCACCCATCCTTCTCGCCATCTGGCCTAGGAGACCCTGCAAACGGGCCTCTGGTCACCTCACTCCACAGGGACACGCTTGTCTGTACCCATGGAAATGCTGGCCCCCGTGGGCCAGGGGCGTCCTGGGCAGCCCAGTGCTGCATCCCCGCCCCCCTTTCCTGGGTGGAGGTCTGGATGAGGTCACTGGAACAGTTAAGGGGGAGTAATTAATACTGAGCACAGGGATACGTGGCCCCCAGTTCTCAGTCTGTTCTCTGTAGCCAAGCCCAGGGCTTGCGAAGGGCTCTCAGGCTGAGTCTGTGGGGGTAATGAGGGTCCCTGAGGCCACCAGCATGCACAAGGCCTCAGTTTTGGCTGCTTCCAGGGGTTGAACTTGGAGTTGGGGTCAAGGTCACGTAGGCCAGAGGCACCAGGCCGGTGTCAGGGCCGCGGCTGCAGCGCAGCCAGTCTCCTCCCGCTGGCCCCAGCACCCGGAGGATATCTCCCTTGCGGAAGCTCAGCTGCCCGGGGCCTGTGGCCAGGTGGTGGCAGAGCGCCTTCACCTCGCTGCGGGAACAGAAAGAGGAGGTCAGAGAAAAGCCGCAAAGCTGAACCCAGCCCCGGGCCTCCTTCCCCGGGCTCACCACGGAGGCTTGGAGGGCAGGCCTGGAGAGGGGGGCCCCTGCGGGCTCTCCCTGGGCTCCGGCTCCCGGCGGGCACCCACTGTTTGCGCCACTCGTTGGAACATGGACTTGTCCAGGCTCAGCCAGTCCGAGGGTAGCCTAGGGGAGAGTGGGCAGGGCCCTGGCTGTATGTGCGCTGGCTCAGATCAGGCCCCCCAACTCCCTCCATCTACACCCCCGGCTTGTGCTCACCTGTTGGTGGGTCGGGCCTCCCGTTGAGCCTTCCGGGACCCAAAGAGGTGTCCCCACTTGATGCCCCCAGGTGAAGGCTCTGAGGCGCCTTCTTCATTTTCTGCCGGGGGCGCAGCGGGCCCCTCTCTCTCCCGACTGCGCCTCAGTTCAGCCAGCACAGAGTCGGGGGGGCTCCCCATCCAGAAGGGCCAGCCCCGGTCCCGGCCAAGCGTCTCCTCAGGGGCAGGGCAGGCTTCTGCTCCTTCCACTACTCCCTCTCGGGGAGGTGGCCCCCCACCTCCTCCCCCCTTTTTCTTCTCACTGCTGCTGCCACTGCTGCTACTGCTGCCACCACGGGGGAACCTAGAGCCCTCAGCGGAGCCATCGATGTAGACCTGGGAGCTCTGCATGAGCTGGTACCACCAGCCGGCCTGCCCGCCTCGGGCCCACCTGCCACGTCCTGAGGCCCCAGCTACCTCTGCCACCTCTTCTGTCTCTTCCTCTTCCTCGTCTTCTCCGCCTTCTGGGGCTCCCACACCCTTCACCCGCTCGCCATGGGCTGCCCTGTCCATCTCTCCAGGGCCCTCCTGGCCCCGGGCCCGGGTCAGCTGCAGCGTCGAGTGGGCAGATAGCAGCAGGTCCTGGGACACCCGCAGCAGCTCCTTATGCTGCCGCTGCTGCTGCCCGCTCTGCAGCAGCCGGTGCTGGAACAGCAGGTCGAGGCTGAAGGGCAGCAGGGCCAGGGGCTGGAGCAGCAGCAGCAGCTCCTCGAAGAGACCAGGGCACACGGTGTGTGCTGCACTCAGGAAGCCCCACGGCTGGTAGTGGGTCTGGATAATATCTGGGGGAGAAAGAGACAGGGACTGAGCCGCACAAGAAACAGAGCCTGGCCTGGTTGTGGGTCTTTGAAGAACTTCCTGGGCAGAGCCACGTGGACATCTCACAGTGCGAACGATGCCTCCAGAGGGTGTGCAGTGCACACGTCACCACCTGACATGGCAACCCCGAGTTCAGAGGAAACGGGTTGGGGTACATGGCCACCCTGATTGCCTAAGTGTCCTGCCGACCCCGAGGCTCTAAGTCGAGCAGAAGCTGAGCAGGGACCGGGTAGAAGCCCCAGACTTTGAGGAGAGCGTGTGTGGTTCCCCTCCCCACCTCTGGCATCTGAAGGGACAGCTGTGCCACCCCCTGGTAAGCCTCTGAGGTCCGGCCTCTCCTGAGTTTGCAGACAGAGCAGGATTCTGGGCATTACCTTCATGGTTATAGAGGTGATTAAACCAGAATTCCAGGGACCGGATGCTGTAGGGAGATAGATAGGTGGAGAGAGTTGAGTCTTGTGTGGATATAGCCAGATGATCAGGGACAAGGAGACAGACACAGGGGGCAGACACAAGGCGGAGGGAGAGCGGACACTGTTCTACGGCGGGGAAGCTATCTGGCTAACTGCATATACTCGAGATCTGGGAGGTCAGTGGGGGTGTGGGGAGGGGCTGGTGGACATGTGACTCCCAAACCATCCGCTTCCTCCTGGAATGGTGGCAGCTCACACAGAACCCAAGAAATCATGGTGGCTGCTAAGTGAGAGTAAAGGGCAGCTCAGGGCCAAAGGGCATGACCCGCGGCCACACTGGAGAACGGAGAGTCTACACTGCGACGTGGGTCCTAAGGTGGACTTCAGGTCGAGCTGGATTTGGAGGCAGTGCTGGAATTAAGAGCATCACGTTTATAATATCAGAGAAACTGAGAAACCAGATTAATTTCCAAGTAAGTGAGATCATGGATTTGTAAAAGCAGTGCCGGGGGGAACCAGGGTCGCAAGGGGAGACCAGCGACCTATCGAGAGGCTGCGGCCAGGTGGGGAGAACGTGAGCCTGGGCAGAGCCATCCTTTCTGTTTCAGTCTGGGGAACTGTTTCCTCAGAGGCGCAGGGTCCGGGGGTTCGTGTTCATGGGTCTTGCCGCACCCCACACTCACTTGAGCAGGCCGAGGATGAAGGCGTTGAAGCGCATGGTGTGACTGGTGAGCTCTGGGAACTGGCTGACTTTGTTGTAGAGGCCATGCAGGACCTTGGTGGAGGGACCTGCAGAAGTCAGAGTGGAGGTCACACGCCCCATCTCTGGACGCGGAATTCAACCTGAGGCCCCGAGGCCCCTTCTTGTCCCCTGGCGCTTACCGAGCTGTGTGGAGGCCTCCACCACACTCCACGGCATGTTCTTCCGTTGCCCGATAATGACGTCGAGCACAAAAGCCTTGAGCCCATCCTCCAGCACAGCCCGGACCGCAGGGCACAGGTACTTCAGGACCAGGTGGCCTACATTGGGGCTCACAGAACTGTTGCCCAGTTTTGCCTGCAGATGCAGTGGGGGAGAACAGGGAATCACCGGCAGCCTGGCTGGGGTCCTCCCTGACTCTCTGAGTGCTCAGGGTGCTTCTCTGGGCTCCCACCCCTAGGTTTCCAATTCTGGGTTCTAAACGCAAGAGAGGAGGGGAAGGTGGTCGTGCAGAAGGGTGAGGGTCCGCAGGGGAGAGCTCAGCCCTCCACAGTCACTTGCCTACCTTCACCCCAGGATCCCGGCTGGTGCCAAAATGGGCCACGATGAGGTCCACAGCGGTGTTAACTGCTTTCACCAGTCCTGCAAGCAAGACGTTGATGTGAGCAAGCTCTTGGGCAACTCAGCCGGGATGGAGTCCTCTGTGAGGACGGGGAGGGGCTTCCACACTCTCGCTGTCCCCGCAGCTGGGTCCCATCAAGGCATCCCCGTCTGCCTCGTTCCTGTTTCTGCCCAGTTCTTAAGACCTTCGTGTTTTTATTTTCCCCTCCCAGCCTGAACCCACCTCCAGGATTCCGCTGTCAAGACCCTCAAGGTCCTAATTTCCTTGCTCTCTTCCTCCAGTTCTAGATCCAACTGTGGGTCTTCTCCTCTGGGAAGCCAGGCTAATGGCTACCACTCACACCAGAGCCGGAGAAGAGCATGTCTTTGATGGGTGCCTTGCAGGACCCACTGCCACTCCCTCAAGTCACTGCGTCAAACCTTCACCCCTTTTCTCGAGACCTTGGTCCTTCCCACAGGGAAGAGATCCCTGGTCAGGAATTCCTTCAACTTCCCTCTCACCCAAAGGACAGAGCTGTACATTACATCTACCCTCCGAGCCCCTCCCTCCCCCTCTGGCCTGATTTCCTTCCGGGGAAGGCGGCTGTTCCTTTCTGGCCCGAGGCCCGAGGTCCTTTGCTCCCCCTAAGCGTTGCATCCCGAACGCAGCCTGTGCGAGGGCCTGTAGCCTCCTTTCTCCCTCTTCACAGGCTTCTTCCCTTCATCCCACAATCACGCTCAGGTTTCTTCCCACCATCTCACCGGAGAGGCTCTCAGTGGCCCTTTGTGGGCTGAATAGGGTGGCTTCTTGTCAGCCCTTCCACAGTGATCCACGCCACTAGGCCCGGTCCTCCATCGCCCCCTCACCCCCCGCCCCCGTTACAGTGCGTGGCATTTATTGACAACACGCAGTCTCCTCGCTACACTCAGCTGCCTCGGGCAGGAGCAAGAAGCCTGATTCTTAAGCATCTGACAAGTGACCCCGGCTCACTTGCACACACCCGCAGCATACACACGAGGGGCTGCCTCTGTCCTGTGCTCCCTAATTCCTTCCCAGCACCTGGGCTTTTAAAACAGGGAAATATTCTGGAGGGCTGGGAAACAGACACCAGTGAGAAGAGAACTCCGGGCCCGAGCAGAGGGTAAATTCACCTTTTTTCTGAAGCAGGTCGATGGAAATGGCTTCTGAGCTGCCATCTGGCGACAGACAAAACTCAGCTGGAGGCTTCTCAGTCAAAGAAAAGGGGTCCTGAAAGTCTGGACAGGTCAGCGGTAATGGCTTCACTACTTGGCCTGGAAAGAAGAGAATAATCAGTCCTGAGCAACTCTCCTTCCAAGAGCGGCAGCTCAGGTCCGTGCCTCACGCCTGCGGAGACAGGCCGGCACCGACCCCTTCTCTCGGCCCTCCCAGCTGGGGCCGGGCCTGCCCTGGGTGTGCTGGGGACGGGGCCACACACCGTTCAGCCGGCAGTTCGGGTGGCCAGCAGCACTAAGGGAGCCGGGGAACTCGAAGATGGGGTTCCTTCGTGCCAGCCGAGCTTCCTGTGGCCTTCGGTCGAGGCTCCCTGACAAACCAGGTGGCCCCAGGGGGTTCTTCCTCCTGTATTCCCGCCACTTGAGTGCTTGAGGGGATAGGTGGTTGGCTGGAAACAGAACAGATGCAGGAGAGACAGTAAGAGTTAGCAGGAAACAGCATTCCATATCCGCCCAGGGGGCCCTCCAAACCAGGAAGGCTGGCATTAGAGGATATTATCCAGAGATAAGTGGGGAGAGAGGTGCCAACATTTAACCTCTGGCCCCAGGATGGAGCATAAGAAATCGGTCAGAGGACAGGAGACGTGCTGGGGTGAGGGCTGAAGCTCATACCATTACTGGGTCTGGAGGCCATGCTGCCCTCACCCCCTCCCCGGCCCAGGCTCTCGGCTCGGCTGAGGTTAGATCTCCAGGAGCCCAGGGGGGGCAAGCTTCCTGTTCCATGGAGCCGGTATTCAGCCAAGGTCAGTATCTTCTGATCCTCCTTCTGTGGCTGCTGGGAGGTGGCAGTTCGGACAGCAGGACAGGAATGGCTCCACGGGGGTGAACTTTTTGTGGCTGTGGCCTGCTCTGCGGGAGGGGAACAGGAAGTGGAAGCCGAAGAGTCGGTGCTGGGCCCAAAGGGGCCAGCACTCCGGATGGGGGAGTAGCTGCCCAGAGGCGATGGCCGTGAGGTTTCTGGCTCGGGCCCAGCTTTCCTGGCACCCCTGTTGGCGGATGCCGCCGATTCCCCCGAAGGAGCTGGGGCTGTGATTTGGGCAGCCAGGGAGGCAGGCTGCTGTGCACGGCTGCAGCCCGAGAGGCTGTAGAGCTGGGAAAGGCTGTGGAGGGCGCGCGCCTTGCTCAACTGCTTGGGGAAGTGGTGCTGGAACACGAAGGGCTGGATGGGCAGCGTGGTTGGTCTCTGCTCCTTGCTGTAGCGAAGGACTGGCCGGCTCTCAGCACCACCCCCTGTGGCAACAGGGATGGAGAAGAATCAGAAAGACACTGAACCCCACAGAAGAGGAAGCAAAGCAGCAGGAAGGAGATGGTGCTCGCTGGGGACAGGGGGGGGTGATGGGCAGGACCTGGGCTGCAGGAACTGGACGGGGTAGGCGGGATCCGGGTCTGGAAAGTGACACTGCTCCCTCCTCCTTCCTTTGCAAACCTTTTCCTACTATTCTTATGCTGCTGTACAGTCTTGGGCCTCCCGGTTACTCAGTCCCTCATCATCCTGACTTCAAGGTGTATCTTAGGGTTCCATTCTTATACCTCACTTCACGTTTTCTCCACTGCGTTTTTCAAGTTCAGAAAATCGCACAGGCGACCCCTGGTCTCCCTGCTGATCTCTAGATTGAGGGCTCTGCTTTTAAAATGTGCTGTTTTAAAACAGCTCTTGTCTATCACTTTTCTCCTTTCTCCCGATGACGTCCACTTCTGTCGGCAGAACAGCCACTGTGTTCTTGGTTTCTAATGTCTTTATAAAGACATGGAGTCAGCATCGGATTTTCAGGGTCAAGACGTTATTAACTTCAAGCTTTCACTCACCCCAGCTCCACTCAACCTGACACATTTCATTCTGGAGCAAATCTAAGCATAGTGAAACATTTCTTTACAGGATGCGAGGCTCGGTCTCTGGTCACCCCTCCCTACCCCGCTCCCACTCTATCACAACCCTGGCACTGGAGCCTGAGAGTCCTCATCTGCTGCCTGTACACGTGGTGTGCTCCCCACGACTGATCCCCTCCTGTCCTCTGCGCCAGTCTTCAGGTCAACAGCCCTCCAGCCCTGGAACTCCCCGCGCCCTGTGCGCATGGCCTGCTCCTCCACCAGCACTGTAAACACCTCAGTGAACACAAGGTGGTGCTAGAAGCACCCACACGCCCGAGACCCTGGGTGTGGCTCCCTGCACAGGTGGTTCCTGACCCTGCGAGGCAGCACTGGGTCTCCTTGCTTGCCGGATCCAGAAGAGGCCACACAATGAAGAAGTGGGCGAGTGAGAATTCTGCCTAAGTGAGAGTCTGACGCTAGGGCCAGTGCTGTCAACTAGCTCACGCTACGCATGGGAGGCCTCGGCCGGGTTGCCTCTTCCTGATCTCTTCAGGAAGTCTTAGGGGGTCGTGACCACAGCCCCACCAAGGAGGGTTCCAGAATCACTCCTAGGGTTGCTTCCAAACTACAACCTCCTGTCAGCCCCGGGGCTAGAGCAACCCTGGCTGTTCTCCTCACTGTGCCCCAGCTGCACTTCTGTCCTTAAACAGGCCAAGTTCATTAGCATCTCAGGGCCTTTTGAACCAGCTGTTCTTTCTACCTGAACTCATCTTATCCAGACATCAGCTTAAACATGTCTCCAGCAAAATCTTTTCCGATTCTCTAGCCCACTGGCAAGTAAATGTCTATCTCTCTTTCATTTTCATTTTAGAATTTTTATGCTATCAGAAATGATCTTGTTTATTGCTTATTACTCCTCACAAGGGTTCCAGAAAAGCAGGGATTTTTTTGTTCATTTATTACTGCACCCCGAGTGCCTCTAACAGATCCTGCCATAACACAGGCATGGCATAAAGATTTGTTAAATGGATGAAGTCCAATGTCAACCTTGATTTCATTGCATCCAGAATCTTACATAAGTCAGCTTCCTTCCTAAAATACCAATTTTATTTTATCGCCTATGTCCCTTCTTTTCCACAGAATAAATCGGTCAGGTGGGCGTCACCTGTCCACTGACAAATTCAGCTGGTCTCCCCTCAGAATTCCACACCTGCACCCCCACTGACACCACCACAGGCCATTCCCATTTAAAGCACACCACTTCTCAGGCAGGGAATGTCTTCCTCCTCCCGGTTTCAAGACTGACCTGACCTGGCTGTCAGATTAAGACCCTCCCAACCAACTGTAACTTTGTTATCCTCTCTGCAAGTCTGTTTGAATTAGATTATTTATTCCCGCTCTTTTTACAATCCTCTGCAAGTCTGTTTGAATTAGATTATTTATTCCCGCTCTTTTTACAATCCTCCGGCTAGTTCCCAGGATGGGATGTGAGGGAAGGAATAGAGGAATAAGATCAGGAAAGAAGTGGGGGGCCAACTGTGGGGAGTGGGTCTGAGTTCTACCTGCAGGGAACCGAGAGAAAAAGTTCCCTCACTTTTCTATGTGATAGCGCCTAAGAAAATTTGAGACAGACCACCTTCACCCAAGTCTGCTCTTCTCAAGGTGACACGGTCCCAGTCCCGCAATTCCTTTTTAAAATGAAGTGCCCAGAAACTTCCAGGTGAGAGAGCGCAGACTGGTTTGGAGGAGAGGAGGAGACTCCCTACTGGACTCTATGAAATGATCCAGTCATTTTAACTTTTAGGAAGCCCTTCCATACTGCTGACTCATTCTGAGTTTGCAATCAATTAAATATCATAATCCATTCAAGTTGACATGTCAAACTTCCTATCGCATTTCCCATTGGTCTCTGCCTTATTAGCTTGGTTCTTTACAGATCCAGCAAGATCCTTTGGGATCCTGATCCTGTTTGTTGTTCAGGATCTCAAAGTGATCTCGGTTTCTTTCATCATTCATGAATTCAATGAATGGTCATTCAGATGTTAATTAAACATTTGCAAGAGCAGTGTTTCTCTATGAAAGTCTTCTCTGAAACAGACACTTTTACTGCTTCTCCTCCCACCTCTGACCAGGATTGTATGGCCCTCAGGACACCAGCCTAGATGAACCAACCAGACACTACAAGCCAAAGAAGTGGGTTGCAAAGGACGCTCGCTAGTCCCTGCTGTTGCTGACCCTCCTCTTTGCTAGAGACCCGCAGCTCCATAGGTAAATCTTCTGCATGTTTAGGAGTGTGAAGTCACTCATCTGCCTCACAGCAGGGATAATACTACTGTTCATGGCCTTTTTTTTTTTTTTTATTAGATAATAAATTTTATTGTTATATTCCCCATACAATTGCAGCCCCCCCATTCTGACCCCAATCCCTCCCCTCCCGCCCCCGCCCCCCTAAAAGTGTCTCTGGTTCATAGTTTTTTGCTGATTTTGATTTTCACTTTCTTATAGTTATTCATTTTCCTGGTGTTCATGGCCTTTTAAGCCCCGTTCTTTGAGAAGTCAACAGACCCAACCTAAGGGTCCACCTAAGTCCACTTAGGTGGACCCTTAGGTTTGGTATAATTTGCTATACCAAATCATTTACAGCCCCCACTCCCACCCACACACACCAAACCCTCTGAGGTCAGATTTCTACCCTTAGTCCTCCTGAAAGCTGCTTTTGGGATCCTTTAGCCTCACTCTGAGTGATTTCTCCTCATAGCTCACTTGGTTGAACTGTATTCTTTTTAAAACTTTTTCTCTGGTTCCTGTGACTTCATTTTCTCCTGGTTCCCCCTCTCTTTTTTTCTGGCTAATTCTTCTGTCTCCTTTGAGAGCCGCTCAGTTTAGCCCTCACGCCCTTATCTGCCAGAACTCTGTCCTTGTTTCTTTTATAAGGGTACACGTGCTCCTGGATGCTCTGGTCCACTCATAACTTCAATTACCACTTTGACTCCGAGTATGTGCTAATCATGGCGATCTCCTGACCTCCAGAAGGCATCCCTTCCGACCCACCTCCCACCCAAACCACCGTGCAAAGCAGAGCATGCCACTAAGCTGTTACAAAAACAAAGCTACTTCCCTTACTGAAAAATTTCAACTGTTCCATTCCCATCCCTCTATGATTGTACCAAATTATTTGCAGTTTCTGGAAAGCATCAAGTTATTCTGTGCCTTTTAATAAGACTATCCAATGAGTCTAGAATGTTTTTACAAGTCTCCATAAAGCCCATTCCTAGCTGTCTTTTTAGATCATGTAAACTGTGATGTAAACACAATGTAAACTGTGTTAGCAGTCCGTCTCTGACATTTGATTCGCATCAGATATCCTTATAGGCCTCCCCTGGTGGCGTAGGAGGTAGAGCGCCGCCCTGTGAAGCTGTCCGCAGACTCTGCAGCACAAGTTTGATCCTGGCCAGCCGGCTAGGGTCCCACATGGCGCGGCAGACCTCTCCTATCGTGCTTGCTGCTCCCCTCAGCAGTGCATTTCGTCAGTCTGCCTGTTCTGTTCCCTGCTCTGTCTCTGGTGAATTCTCTCACCCTCCCATGCATCTGGCCTGTACCCCAGTTCTTGTATAAATAAATAAATGAATGAATGAATAAATAAATGAATAAATGAATAAATAAATCTTTAAAAAAAAAGTTATCGTTATCACAGACTAGCATCATGCACCGCCATTTCTGATTATAATTATGTGTCTCCTTTTTTGTCCCCATCTTTAGTGGGAATTCCTTAAGGACAGAAACTGTCCCTCTCATCTACCACCAGGACCCACTTAACACAGTGTTTACAAAATAATTACTTAAAGTATAATAAACAGGGAAAGAACTGACCTAGGAGGTTTACAGGTCAAGAGTCAGGTCCCTGGCTCTTTGAAGAGTGGCTGTGATCACCTGTCAGTGACACCCAGTGTGGTCTGCCTGTTGGACATACCCCCAAAGCACCCTGCAAACTCCTAAGTGTCCAAACTGAACTTACACTTTAGCCTTTTCCCAGTAAATCTTCGCCTCTCTTCGCAGTCCTACCCATGCTAGCGTCATCTTCTCGGTCATCCAGGCTTAGCACCACTCTTCTGAGCATTTCCTTTCCTAATACACTAATTTCTAAGTCCTGTTGATTTTACTTCCTTTTTTTTTTTGACCCTCTAAGCTACGCCCCCACCCCCGCCATTTAGAACCATAGTACACTCCCTGGACGGGAAGATGCTCCATCTAGGCTGGGGACCCTCACGTGTATGGAAGGGGGTGGCGGCAGAGCCCATCACCGTGGAGACCATGCATGTATCCTGGATTCCCCAGCCTCTAGGTCCTTACCGTCAGCTCTAGCTCTTGCATCCCTCTGGGTATGGCTGTTGGCTGGGCTCCCTGGGAGAGCAGGCCCTGGATCCATCAGCTGGGCATGATGTCCAGCAGTTCTGACACCAGAAGGTGGCATCTCACTGGACTGGGGGCTCTGACAGACCTGGGTAGACCAGGACTCTGGGCCAACTAGGTCCATGCCTGGCCCCAAGGGCATGGGTGGAAGGCTATGGCTACAATGAGTGCCCTCATCCAGCGTGCCCGCCTTATCCTGTTGGGCTTCTTGGATGGGTGAGAACTCCTGGGAGGAGTCCCCAACACTCACTCGAAGTGGGGGGGAGCCAGAGCCTACAGCTTTCTTCCGGCCCTTGGCAAGCTCAGCAAAGGAGGTGACCCGCCTGGGTGGGGAGCTGGGCCCAGCCAGGGCTGCAGGGCCCTCACTCAGGCGCACTGGGCAACTCAACATGCGTTCCAGTGAGCCCAGGCGTACCGGGGGGCTGCGCTCAAGGCTGCGGTCGTAGCTTCGAGAGCGCTGACGTCCGGTGCTAAGGTTGGGGGGTGAAGTATTAGTGTACACTTGCCCCTCAATCACAGTAGGGCTCACAGGAGCGGCCACTTCCGCTGAGGAACCCACTGCTTCTTGCTCCTCCGGCTGGATTTCTGGCTTCTGGAACAGGTAATACTCAGAGGGCTGGCCGGGGCCTGGGTCTGGGTCAGGGCCCATGTCTGCGCCGGGGCCTGGTGTGGGACTTATCTTGGTGTGTTCCTCGGAGCAGCTGGTAATGGAAGAGCCAGCTGGGCTCGGCGATGATTGGGAGGACAGGTCACAGGTGACAAGTTTATAGTAATTCTGTGTGGCCACAACAAGGCGGGCCTGGCTCTGGAAGCAGGCTGTGAGGTCAGCCACCGCTGGGCAGGGCTCACAGTGCGGGCGGTAGGAGTTGCAGTTGGCATCAAGCTCGGGAGAGGAGGCGTGAGGGCAACCATAGCCTCCTTCCCTTTCTCCACTGTCAGGGTGATGGGACTCACAGGACATCTTGGACTCAGCTGGGGAGGGCTGCAGGTCCAGGTAGAAGGCTCCAGGGTCTGAGTGGCTGCAGAAGGAAGAGTCGCTGCAAGACTGTGGGGCAGAGTTGAGATTGGCACGGGAGTTGCCATGCATCTTGTTGTAGAGGGTGCTGAAGGTGACCAGCACGCCGTCTGAGCTGTTGCAGGACGAGTCGCTCACATAGCCCATGGACTGGTCGGCCGCCTCAGACTGGCTCGATGTGCTACTGCAGCGGCAGTGCTGGGCTCCTGAGCCTGAGCATCTGGGATTCCTCGGGGACTCATCTGAGCTGAGCTTCCATTCCTGGTCAAAGGAAAAGCCAGAGGTATCACTGGCGCCACCCCCACTGCCGCTGCCCCCAGGTCCCCCACACTCATCCAGCTCCATGGTCTCTGCTTCCAGCTCTGGCCGGCAACAGTGGCCGGTGCTGCATTGCTGGGCATCCAAGGTGGTCACCGGCTCCTGCTCCTGCCCCTCCACCACTCCGGCCCGGCTACGTGCTGCCCCCCATGGTCTGCCCACTCTGGGGCCAGGTGGTGGCAACTGGAAAGAGGATAGATGGAAGGTGGGCTGGCCGGTTCCGTGCAGGTGGAAGGACTGCTGGGTGGTACCACCGCCAATGCTGTCGTCATAGAGGTCACCGAGGCCTGGCTCAGCCACACCCTCCTGCAATAAGAAGGGATTATGTCGTTTAGGGGCCCCGGGGCCTCTTCCATCCCGACCGCTACTCTTGGTGCTGTCTGCAGACCGTGCAGATCCCCCCGGAGCAGAGTGCAGACTGCTGTACAGCAGGGAGTCAGCTTGTCCGAGGTCTTGATCAGGCTGGGTGATGCCCAACTCGGGTGGGCAGAAGGGGTTGGCTCTTGTGCCCCCACCGCTTCCACTTGCCCCTCCACAGCACTGCCTGTCTGGGACTTGACAGTGCACCAAGGGGATGTGGTGGACGATGAGGGTCTCTCCAGTCAGCTTTGGAGGACTATCCATTCTGGAAAGTTCGAACAAGGGCATCAACAGCACCGGACACTGCCCCCAGAGCCCAGTGGGGCAGAACACATTTCATCAGGAGAGCTTGGCACCTGGAGAGAGAGGGAAAGAAAGGGAACCCAATGTCACCTCCCTGGAAGTCAGGGACTTGCCCCTCCCCACATCACTTTCAGAAGCGAAGAGCCCATCCGGAGGAAAGGCTCGCAGAGTCGGGATGGAGCGTGACTACACGGCCTGACGGGGCAGGGGCTATCCCGCCACAGCCGGCACTGTCCAGGCCCGGAGTCCCCTTGAGCGCCCCCTGTCAAGGTCACCACGCATCCACTGTGACGAGAGAGCAGGCCACTGTAATGCCACACGTGGGTCTAGAATCTCAGGACAGCACTTTTCCCTTCTCTCCAAGGACCCTTCCTTGGAGGTAAGCAAGGATTAACGCCGAGCACAAAAAAAGTACCGGAGAGTAACACAAGGAAGAGACAACCGCCTAGGATGGCTGAAAGGGCGCTAGGCACTCAGAGGACACAGACGCCTTAGGCACAAGCTCACCTTGAGGGGGACATCATGAATAAGGGATCATGTACGCAGAGCAGGAAGCTATAATTTTGCAAGAAAAATATTTTTAAATAAACTATATCCTTTGATGGAGTGACTGTTACCGTGGACCCTTGTCCACTGATGGCTGTGGGCGCAGAACCCTGGGTTCCCCCTACTGTGCTGGCGCTTCTCGAAACAGATGGAGTTGGACATCAGGGAGGCTGCCTGCATAGCCCCTTCCTTCTCAGTGGGGGTGGGAGGCTCTTTTTACCTCCTCTGTGCCCCTCTCACACAGCATCACATAAGGCCCGACAACAGGAGAGGCGCAATACGGTCGCAATAACTCAGCTAGTCTTTTGTCTGCCTCAGGATACAGATCTTCTCAAGTGCCCTCAATCTGACCAGTTTTATTGATAGCTTAGAACTTTCAGTACAGGTGGGGTGTGTGGTCCTCTAGAAAGTCTTACCTTCCTGGTTTTACCTTTGACAGGTTAAGGTAGATTTCTTATTCAAGGCCACCTGGCCCCAAGGACACAAGAGCCCATTCTGAGCTTCTCTGGCCTCTTGGCCAGATTGCCGCAGAACAAGCTCACGTACTAGTCTCCTGTGCTGCAGAGTTCGGGTCCCAACAATCCTTACCTGCTCAGAATCCTCATATCTAATTTCTTCTAATTCATTCATTTCCTCCCTTCCACCCACTGGAGTCAGATCTCCATTGCCTAAGCTCTCCATCACTTAGCTGAACCCTTCATATGACCTTCAAAAAAATATTTAGACCTCAGGATCACAGCTCTTCATGTGGAGTGCAGTCAAGAGCTGGTAAGTCATGTCCACTCAAGGATAGGACAGACAGCACATGAGAGGAAGCGGTCAAGTGGCTAATAAGGACATACGTGAGGGGCGAGGTCTTAAAATATAATTTATATTAAATTACATTAGAATTCAAACGCAAGTATTTACCATCTGTTTTCCTCCTGTCATTTCTGAGAGGAAGTCTCCTTTGTTGGACTTCTAAGCTTTTGTGTGCTGACTGGGGTAACCAGCAGATATGGAGAGAGGTAGAAACTAGAAAGGCTGACCTGAGCTACAAGATTAAATTATAGAAGAAAACAAAGGAGTAAATCTATTAGCTGAGAATTTCTTAGATATGACACCAAAAGCACACTCTTCGTGACGAAAGAAGACTGAGTTAAGGTAGTGTTCATAAAAATTAAAAACCTTTGTACTGAAAGGAGACCACCCCCAGAAGGGGAGAAAACATTTGCAAATCAGGTACCTGATAAGAGACTTCTGATCAGGATATTGAAACAACTCAACAATAAAGAGATTAAATTGAAAACTGGGCAAAAATCTTGAACAGACAGTTCTCTCAAGGAGACATACAAATGACCGAAAAGCACAGGAAAAGATGCTCCACATCATTATTGCTAGAGAAATAAAAACCACAACGAGATGCCACTCCATCCCCACTTCAATGGCTCAGATGAAAAAGACAATACGAGCGGTGGCGGTGGCGATGTGAGCAATCGGAGCCCTCCCACATCGCGGGGAGCATTGTAAAATGGGGCAGCCACTTTAGAAAACAGTCTGGCAGTTCCTCAAAATGCTCAACACAGAGTTGCCACATGGCCAGCCATTCCACTACTAGGTATGTACCAGCAGTGAAAACACGTGCGCACACAAAAACTCGTATATAAATGTATATGGCAGCATTATTCACAATAGCCCCAAAAGTAGGAATCATTCAAATGTCTGTCAATTGATGAATGGAAAAGCAAAAGTGTTATATATAGAGAGCGGAACATTATTAAATACAAAATAATAAAAGGAATGAAGTACTGTTACACACCACACCATGAATGAACCTCAAGAAAGCAAGTAAAAGGAGCCATGAAAGGCCCCTTTGGAGAATGGTGCATGGCTGCATATCCATGAGATGTCAGAATAAGTGAATCCAGAGACAGAAAAGAGGTTAGACCGGGAGGCTGGGCGGTGGGGAGTGACCACTAATGGGCATGGAGGTGCTTTCTGGGGTGATGAACATTTTCTGAAATCACAGTGATGAGGATTACACAAATCTGTGAACAAAATCAAGATGACAGGATTTATGGTACATGAATTATATTTTAACAAGGCTGTTATTTAAAACATTTTTTTAAATAGAAAACAAAAAGATGAAGCTATATAGAGGGAGGAGGAGAGGTAAGGAGAGGAACGACTTACTAGTGGCGGGGACGGGACATTTGCAGAGACAAGGCTGAGATGAGGAAAGAGAGGAACAGGTGCCTTGAAGTGTGGGGTTTTGAAGAGAGCTAGAGGACTTTGAGGCAGATTTGCTGTGAGGGACACGAGATAATTTTCCCTTCGCAAGCCCCTCCCCCCACCTCTTCCCTTCTTTCACCAAGACAACTTCGGGCTCAAATAGATATGCCACAAAAATAACAGAAAGGTGGAATTTACTAAAATTTAGAATAATCTGTCAAAAACATGCAGGTGAATCATTAAAATGATGTGTTGGGCCTCCCTAGTGGTGCAAGGGGTTATGATGCAACCTATGAAGCTATTTGAGCCATGCAGCAGGAGTTCAATCCCTGGCCAGGGAGCTACCCACATGGTGCAGCAGACCTCTCCTGTCTCACCCGCTGCTCCCCTCAGCAGTGTAGTTCAGTCAACCTGCCTGTTCTGCTCCCCACTCTGTCTCTGGGGAATCCTCTCACCACCACCCCCACATCTCTGGCCTGTTCCCCAGTTCATGTATGCATAAATAAATAAATTTTAAAAAATGATGTGTTGACTTGGAAAAATATTCACCAAGTCTTAGTGCAAATAGCAGGTTACAAAGAGAATGGGCCTTAGACGCCCTCTTTTATAAGAACATAATGTATGCATGTATCTGCCTGAGTCCATTCAGGTTGCCATAACAAAATACTCCCCAATGGGTGATCTATAAATGGCAGAAATTTATTTCTCAGTTCTGGGAAGTCAAAGATCAAGATGCTAACATGGTTGCATCTGGGGGAACCTCTTCCTGGTTTGCTGTTGGTGCCTTCTAGCTGTGGCCTCACTGGATCCTGTTTTATAAGAGCACTAGTCCCATTCTGAGGATACTGCCCTCTTGATCTAATCACCTCTCAAAGGTTCATCTCTTACTACCATTGCCTTTGAGGGTTAGGATTTTAACATTTGAACGTGGGGGTGGGAGGAATCACAGTAAAGCAGGGGTACATTTGGACCATAGCAATGTGCACAGAAGAAAAAATTTTTTTTAAAGATTTTTATTTTTTCACACAAGAACAGGGGTGTAGGCCAGAGGTGTGGGGGGTGAGATTTACCAGAGACAGAGTGGGGAGCAGAACAGGCAGATTTTCTGAAATACACTGCTGAGGGGAGCAGCGGGGAAGACAGGAGAGGTCTGCTGTGCCATGTGAGTTTCAACCTGGCTGGGGATTGAACTCAGGCCTTGGTGGTGACAGCACTGAGACCGAACCCCTAGGCCACCAGAGAGGCCCAGAAAAAAATTTGAAAACACATATAACAAAATTTTAACAGTGCTTAATGCTGTTGAGTAGTTTTGGATTATTTTTCATTAGATACTTTTAAATTTAACTTTTGACCTTTTATCTGTATTTTCTAATTTTATAATAAACATCCATGATGTACATAATTGAAACTTTTTATTTCTTTAAATGCCTTGGGCACGGTGGGTTCAGGAGGGGCCTTCTGATTACACACAGTACTGGATTTCCCTGGAGTCCACCACAAAGAGGCCTGGACTAAAAGGACTATAATGACCTTTCTTGGACATACAGCATGGAGGTTAGAACATCTATGGGCAATGGCGGTCACTCTTCGCCAGCGGCTTTTCCCCCGTCCACACTGAAAGCATCATTTTCCCAGAGGTCGCCATGGTACAGACACATACACTTTTGTAATTCTGGTCCACAAAACCATTCCTGGGTGATACGTGCATTCAAATGGACAAACACTGACGCACGGAGTCTAGAACGCAGACCCTCTGAAGCAGGGCTGGAGGACACGTGGACATGGGGTGATGAAGGAAACTTTTTGCCGGTTGTATTATGTTGTGATGTTTACAAATCAGCCCCCCAGACTAGCGTGAGGTGCCTTGAGGTCAGAAAGGGTGACCTCATCTCTGAGACCCTAGGACCTCCACATAGTGTTAGGGGCTCTGCAGCCAGCAGGCGCTCGGTTATTTGCTGACTCCCACCTGACCCATTTGAAAACCGACTTGCCTATCATTTCATTACTGAGTTGTGGTTATTAAAAATTTATTCTGGATACAGGGGAGCACTCTGTCAGACAGAAGTCTTGAGAACATTTTCTCTCAACCTGTAGCTTGCTTTCATTTGTTTTCCTAGTGATGTTTTTAATAACTATGTGTCTGTTTTTTTTCCTTTATGCTTAAAGCTTTCTGTGTCCTGTCAAAGAAATCTTTCTCCCAAGATCATAAAGAATTTTTCCTAATTTTTTTTCTAAAAGCCATATAGTCCTAGCCTGTACATTTAGGTTGTATCAAATCCTATTTAAGTATAGTTTT